CATTACCTATACACACACATTATTCTCCCGTCATGTTGTCACCCTCTTTTATATACCAGACTACCCTATATCTAGTAAATACTAGGGCATTCACCAAGGTACAGGATAGTTCTAGAAAATAGGTGGCGCCACACCAGTCACGTGACCTCGATGACGCAACAATATATATATGTATATATACATTTTAAAAGGCCCTTCAGAAGTCAGTGGGGAACATTTTTGTTGAAAATCACAGGTGAAATCGATCGTATCTCAACTGAAAGCTAAACATAAAAAAGGTGATAGCAGAAGCATAAAAGGTTGGAAACTGCTTAATTAATGACACTGAGAATGTGGCTTTATTGATATATACTGAATTTACTCCTAGCAAGTAGACCTTAGTATTAGCTAGTATGGAAACTTGATGATGCTGTATTTCATTTAAAAATTTATCAATTAACAAATGAAAACTTGTCTCAAAAAGATTCAACCAAAACCATCCTCGTTTGGAGTTTCTGGATTGAACTTACTTTTAATATTCAACAAATTGTAGTGTAAAGACATCCCTTGGTTCCTGAAGGACATGTTAATAATTAACTTTTCAGTGTTAATCTGGTGCTTAAGTTACTGTACAATAGATTACAGTGATATAATTTTAGTAATGAATTCTAAATTATTTGCTAGCTCAAACATCACCTACAATTACAATAAATCTTCGAGACTAGTTTTTAGACAAACACAAAATCAAATACCCTACACTTTCCAGATAATTTAGTTTGTTCAATGTCTGATCTTTTAAACTTACATTTACTTGCAGGGCTTCTTGGGCTGCAATCCTTGAATTTAAAATTATCTATTGCTATGTCTCTTGCAGGAAGCAATCCAAACAATTCTCTCTCTGCATTTCCACGCAGTTCCAACTGTAGAAATAAATAAACTATTGAAATCCTTCAATATTTTTTTTAAATAATTATAATCTACAAGTTTATAATTTAATCAGCTATTTCATTTTAAATCTGAGAACAGAAATTTTATTATAGTTTCATCATACAATATAAATGTTCATAACATTCCAAATACCAATTAGAATAGTTTGAACAGGTTGGTGCACTTAATTCACTTTTGCAATATCTTTGCTCTAAAAATGAAATTACAATTACCTTTTCTAAAAAACAAAAATTTAATTTACTATAAAGAATAACCTAAAGTTACAAATAAATGATATTAAAAAATGTAATAGACCATGTATAAATAATCATCAACATCACTTTTGTTACACAATTCTTCTGTAAGGGTTTTGTAATATGTGCATTTTAAACAAACGCTATAGTATTCCTATCCATCTATTTTTTTGTTGTCAAAATCTATTGCAATCTAGTTCTGTTTTATTAAAGTTATAAACAAACTTCTATTTTAAGAAGCAAATTTATAGCACTTCATCTATCTTGGGATGAGAAATTTCTTTTTTTCAACAGGATACCAACCATTAGCACTTCTTAAGCTGGTACTGTTGGCTGACTAAGAATATAAAGTCGCATGACTTGAAAATTAAAGTGAATGTTTAATGAATACAAAAAAAAGACATATTGTAAAAATTAAAAATTATAATTCAACATATTTTCTTGCAAAGTTCAACCTCTGCAGTGATTAAATTTAACTTGTCCAGGCAAACCAAAATGTACAGTAATATTAGGTCATCAAGAAATTAATGTCGCTTTTTTTTTAGATGAAAAAACCCGAACAACTTATATATCAAAACAAAACATTTATCAAATGAAATAGTCTCCATTCTTATCAATAATGCTTTTCCTTATTACATTCAGGTTGTTAATGCTCTGATTAAAGAAATCACTTGGCTTTGAAGCAAAAAACATGTGGATGTCCTCTTTATCACCTTCTATATTTGCATACGTTTTCCCATTAAGGTGGTGTTGCAGCAAAGGAAAAAAAAGATGGTAATCTGATGGTGCCATATCTGAAGAATAAGGTGGGTGGGGGAGAACTTCCCAACTCAACTCCATAATCTTGTATTGCTTCAAACGTGCCACATGTGGACGTGCATTGTCGTAGAGAAGAAGAACACCTTCCCGATGTACGAGTGAAGGGCCTTTCTGATGAAGGGCTTGATTTAAACATCCCAGCTGCTGACCATAGATCTCTGCATTGACAGTTTGCTGTGGATTGAAGAGTTTGAAATGAATTACTCCTTTGATATCCCACCAAACACAAAGCATTACTTTCTGCAGATGGTGTCCAGGTTTTGGGGTCGGAAGTGGTTTTTATCGAGGACTGAGCCGTTGTTTTTGGCATTTAATATTCGCATAGAGAATCCATTTTTGAACACCAGTGACAATTCTGTCCAAAAATGGTTCATGTACATTATGTGCCAAAAGAGATTAAGCAACATTCACACATTGGAAACGATGATCATAAGAGAGTTCGTGAGGCACCCAAACACTTTCTTTATGGAGTTTTTCCATATTCCTTACATATTTACATATTGTTTCATGAGAGACACGCAATTTCAGGGCCATTTGGGTTAGACATAACAAGCATCTTCAGAGCATCAATATCAATTCCAACATGTCAGCCCCTGCCATCACAATTTTTAAGGCTAAAGTCATGTGAATGAAATTTGCTGAACCATTGTTGACACTTAGAACTTTCAAAACATTTCCATAAACCTCTTTTGTATTCTTTGTGGTGAGAGAAGCTTTGTTTCCCTTCTTATATTCAAACAGCATTACATGCCGAATATGTGTCTCGTCACTAGCATCTTCTTTGATAACCAGGTTCCCCATCAATATGATATGGAGTTTTTGCTGGGTCCACTAACACCAACTTTGATAACCTGTTTTCCCATCCATATGGTATGAGATTTTTGCTGGGTCCACTAAAACTTACATTAATAACCTGTTTTTTCATCCATATGGTATGGGATTTTTGCTGTGTCCACTAATGTCAGCTCTGATAATCTGCCTTCCCATTAATACAATAACTCTATTTGTACTATGGATAAAAAACAAGAACAACAAAAGTTATAATTTTCCTATACTGAAAATGTATTTCCGATACTTACCTTCTCTCACAAAATTAGCTATTCTCGTTCAGTGCTGCCCTCTATAGACGAACTTTTTCTTTACGCATACTACAAGCTTTCTGCTCCCCCTATTGGAATTAAGAGATTCCAACGTGTCTCTCATGCAAATCATCATACATCACTTTTCCACCAATAGGAGCATGACATGCTCATGTCACTCCCTCTATACTCCTCTACAAACAATCACTTTGTAATTTGGCAGAAGACTTAAGCACCAGAGGAAAGTGGGAGAAAGGGTGGGAAGTTTGAGAGGAGGTATGTACCTATTGGAAATACATTTTCAGTAAAGGAAAATTATAACTTACCTCTTCTCAAAAAATTAGCTAAAATCCCACATTGAAAAGGAGGAGGGACCTGTTTGAGGGAATTACAGAAGTACCCCCAAAAGCATCTGAAGGATACCCCTGGAAATGAGAGAGTCAGATCCAAAGATCAGATGAGGGGGGACCACACCACTTCTGAACCAGGTATACTCTTCACCCCTCTATGAAATGTAGGGAAGATAAGGGTGGAAAAGGAGAGGAGCACATCTTAGTGAAGAGAACAGTGTCAGGATCATGATCCTAACTATATAAAATAAATGTAACTCAATCCCATGAATAGAAAAGTGGGTAAAACAATGGTTGTGCCATCAGGTGTAGAGTGGCTAGGGCATGACGGACCATACTGAGAACCGACATTCATGCTAGGGTAGGATGACGATTATACCATCTTCACCTTAAACCCAAGAGACTGGGGGATTAAGAAGCATGCAATGTCCCAGGTATGACACAAGTATTAGCACTGAGCTATCAATCCAGGGATCCAACACCTAATATCAAAAAGGGTGTTTATCATATGCAATCAACTCCCCCAACCAGGAAATTTACCAGAACCATCCAAAAGGCAATAACATCCATGTATTAGGATAGGATGAGAGAGAGGCAAAGGACAGAACTATAACAATCCCATATACCACTTCTGTGACCCACAACACAGACAGAAGAAAGTCGAGAAAGGAAGATAGACAACCCGAAACATGTGTGAGGACTTATTTTGATTGGTTCTATTATAAATCCAAAACCCAGCTGTGGTGTACCAACAAAGCCAGAGCCAAAAATGATAAACAAGCAAGTGTGGAGGAAAGAAGGGAAAGGGTATCCCCAGAAAACTCTTCAAACAGAAGGTGTACAGAAGAAGGATATTGCAAAAGAATTGTAAGGGTAAGATGGCAAGAATACTGGGCAGGGGTCAGACTGACAGGTGATTCAGGAGCCACCCCCCCAAACAGGCTATATAGAACCTAACAATTGTTGGTCCAAAAAAGGGACAGTCAGCACAATGGTATGAAAGTGCGAACTGACCTGAAGTCCACAAGACATGCTAATCCTATCACTTAATTGTGAGGCAAATTGATCAGCATGAACCTGAATATCAGAGGAGGGAGGAAAAACCAAAAATGGGTGGGAAGATTGTTATGTAGTAAGGAAGGACATGGCTCATAAGAAATAGGAGAAAGGAATGATATATCACATACCTGAGAAACAAAATCCAAAATGACCAAATTAGGCCTAACTGATTCCTCAGGAGGAGATGGGAAGGTAATGGAAAATCAGGAGGCGGATATAGACAATCCAAGTCCTCATCAGTCTGAACAGGAGGAACTGGGGTGAGGTCCAGGGAAAAAGGCTGACCCATGTAATATTCAATCTCCTGAAGGTTAAATACAGATAAATCTACCGTCGGGTCGCCCACACCTAAGGCCTGAGAAAGATCGCTAGTTGCTGGTGTGACCCTGGAAGTGGTAACATGAACCTCAGAATTCACTGTGAAGAAGAGTCCACCAAATTCGAGTGGTGAAAAAGAATAATGCAACTAGAACTAATTGATAAAAATTTAAAGTGATGAAACTGTCTGAATGAAAACTAGAGAAATTATGGAAAACCACTTTGTGAGTATACTTAAGCTAAACGTGAATCTTTAAACAAACAAGAAGCACGTCCAAACGAGAAGTGATAGTTTGGTAGAGGAGAATAGAGGGAGTCACATGCATCATGTGAGAATGTCATGCTCCTATTGATGAAGAAGTGATGCATGATGATTTACATGAGAGACACATTGGAATCTTTCAGTTCCAATAGGGGGAACACAAGGCTTGTGGCATGCATAAAGAAAAAGTCCACATATAGAGGGTAGCACTGAACAAGAATAGCTAATTTTGTGAGTGGAGTTAAGTACTATATCGAAATGTTCTCCTTTTCATTTACTGGTCAGTTACAATTCTTTGTTCATAATTTATTTACTTTGTTCTAGTTTTCTTTTGTATAAATTCTACATCTTTGTGTGTGTATATATATAAACATATACATAATACAATGCAATTTTTATCTACTGCACAGTAAAATCTTATTTTCTGCTAAGTTTTGCACTTTCTTAATGGATTATTTAAAAATTTTATTTCATTTATTTTTAATTATTCTAATTTAGTTTAGACGATGAAATAGCCAAGACGGACCAATAGGTTCCATGTTATCCCAAAACGTTATGTTATGTTAAACATATTTAATATTTTGGAACTAAGATTCTAACATAAGTTTCATTGCTATTACTCAGATGGTGAAACAATACAATAATTATAAAAGATCATGAGGTACTTATAAGAAGTATTTCACTTTCTCATTCTTGTTAAGGTCAATTACCAAATACTTGGAAGTAATTGATATAAATCATTTAAAACCAAAACCATATTTGCTATACACACCACTTTTCCAGCTGGCCAAGGTCCTAAGGACACAGAAACTCGCTGCCATAGTTTTCCTTTGTTAGCATTTACTACAAAAACTGTCTTGTAATTTTTAGGTTCTCCAGGATCCAGAACTCTTAGTTCAATTCCTCCTATTTATATAATAGCCAAAAATTCATAGTTGAATGCATTTCAAAAAAAAAAAAGAAATTTCACAATCCATAAATTATTTGCTCAAATATACCTGAATTCCTATTTGAAGTTATCAAGAGTATACTATTTTTTATATAGGCTGAGCTCACTTTTGAGTTCCTTTCCTTGAACATGTATATTGTTCCTGAATAATTTAACATTAGGCTTCTAGGCTATTCTGAACCCCTCTGTTTAGACAGCTTTACCAATCATTGTTCTATAATTCAAAATTGATGGTGAACAGGTCCAATGGAAACTTCTTATAGCTTTTCAATGAGGATGATAAGTAAAGAACAGAAAGCCTCTACCAAAATATTATAACATTTTTTAAAGTGTGTATCTGCCTATACTGAGAAAGCTTGATTTAAAAAAAATATCCACATAAAAAATACAAACTAGTAAAATAAGTACTTATAGGTTAATTTAAAAAATAACAAATAAGCTGACATGGCAAAAACACGAGTTGCACTGTTCCAGTAAACAGGAATTCAAACTTACTTAAGCTACATAAGAGAAGAGGTCAGAATAGAGAAAAATAAAATATACAAATAAATTATTGTAAATTATCTGTATAATTGTTCCAGACCTTCACCCTAAAAAAACTAAATAATTCTGTAAATAAAAAGTAAGTTGAAAGATAATTCATATGGCATTTTCTCACAGAAATGTAGGATAAATTGATTATCTTACAAACATATCTACAACATTCACACTAAACTTGCTGTTTTGCCAGTTCTTCTGTTAAAAAATTAATAAATATATGATGTAGTGTTCAGTAATCCTTACCCTAATTCTGATGTGTTGTGACATAAATACAATTAAGGTAAGGATTACTGAACACTACATCATATATTTATTCATTTTCTCAGAGAACTGTAGGATAAATTGATGATCTTACAAACATATCTACAGCATTCACACTAAACTTGCTGTTTTCCCAGTTCTTCTGTTAAACAATAAATAAATATATGATGTAGTGTTCAGTAATCCTTACCCTAATTCTGATGTGTTGTGACATAAATACAATTAAGGAAAAATTATACTTTACTTACAGTTTTGTCAACTACTACAACTACGTCTGTTATATTCTAGCTAGTACTGAACATAGTATATATAGTGTGGCTAATGTATTTTAGTAACTAATTTTTTTAATATACATAATGTTCCTTGCCTCAAGTTTAAACCAAGACCTGTCACACACAACAAGTACTCTACCAAATGAGCTAGTGTTAATCCACTAATGGTTGCTAGCAAGTCTTTTTTTTTAACAAGTCAAACTATTATCTTCTACCCCTCTCACAACAAAGCCCATCTATGGGTCTTGTTTCAGGGTCATTTGTCAGCCACTAGTTGGGGGCAAATATGATCATTTCTTTTTTTAATATATATATATATATATATAGTACCTTGCCTTGGATTTAAACCTCAGGCCTGTCTCATTCCAGATGAGTGTTCTGTCAACTTAGTTCAAAGGTTAATCATTAGTGCTTGCTAGTAAGGCACTTTTTAACAGCTCAATCTACTACAATGTTATTATACATTCTCTGTGACTTTCACTTAGAAGCTCTTTTTAATAATTATTATGATTTTTTCAAGAGTAAAAAGTTAGATAAACCTGGTGTTAGCCTAAACAAGCTGATATTACAATATCCTATTTGAATTAAGAATTCCTAAAGATTTTCATTTAGAATCTCTTGAGCATAATGGTTAGTCCCAAAAGATTAAACTTAGTGTAGCCTTACAGCCAGATAAGTACTCTCTAAAACCAAATGTTAAAACATTCTTCACATAATGCTCATATGAAAATAAACATGTAATATTTTATATGTAGTGCCTATTCCTACTGAAGTGAATTAAGATGTAAACAAAATTACCATGAGAGGGTTCTGAACTTAATGGCTTGAGGTTGATTCTCTAACAACAGATGTAGCACACAATATCTCATATCATGCAAAACATTATGCATTATTCAAGTAAAGGCTTATATGGAGTCTATAACACACCTAAGCACATCCCTTTTCTCAAAAGCTCACAACATAATACTACTCAGTAGTTCAGATTAACACAAGTAAATTTACAACAAACAACAAACCTAGTTTGTAACAAGAACAGATGTACTTTATGTTTCTCATCCACAGACAAGATATAATTGTCAACAGTACCCATCAATCTAGGTAAATACAAATGTATCCAACATATCTACAGTAACAAAAAACTCTTAATATTAACCCTTTATATATGGGTCTGGTCATTTTGACCAAGTCTGCAATTATCAATTAACTATGAACCTATATATACTATAGCTTTTAACATAGTAAGTGTATCTTAATGAAACTTGGCAAGCTTTTATTAAAAATTAAATCTTTTGCACACAAAACAATTAGATTTTTTTACTGAAGTGTTTCAGCTAAAAACGTGTTTGTGAATTTATGGGGTCAGAGTCCGACTCAGACTAGTCTGAGTGCAAGGTGATATTCATGTTAAGATTAAAAATAAGTTTTTCATCTTACAGTTTTAAAATTTTATATGCATAGCCTCTAGAGCCTCCTAAATGATTATAAAAAGTGTTTTTTTTTAAGTAAAACTTAAAATTATATCCATTATTTTCACTATGCAGGCTTGGTCCACTTAACTGACCTTGTAACGACCACAAAACAAAAAATGAAAGAAATCTAAATCCAAATCTGAGGTTGTTTAGGATAAATTAAAAGTATTTATCCTAAACTACCTCAGAACCATAAAAGAACATCTGTTTTTATTTAATTTTATTGTTTTATTGCTTTCTGAATCACGTCTAACTATTGAACATGCATAACAAGCTAGAAATCACCGTTCAAAAACATAGCTCAATTATGGTACTGAATTATGTAAAACAAGAGCTTCTTTTATACATACTTCATTAAGAAATTAATTATTTTTTATTTAAATCTTTTTTTTTCGTTTGTCTTTTTATCTAACCTAACAAGTTTCTAATTTCTATATGTTAGCTATTTTTATAACAAAGATAAAAAAATAATTATTTTGCAATCAATAACCCAAAGTGTAAAAAAATATTAACCTTAGTTCTTTTGCTAAGTTTGTTATGAGTACTTTACTGAATTTTTATTTACTTCAAATACTTAATTTAGTACAAAAATAATAACACTGAAACTCAGAAGTTCAAATAGGGTTGAAATATTATCTAAATTATGCAATTCGAAGTGAACAAGTGTCACTTGGTACAAAAAAGTGAAGACTGAGAATTTATTTAAATTTTTCCTTTTGAAATTAAGAAACTAAAACTTTTGGAATATTACTATTTGATTTATAAACTATGTTTTGATGCCAAATTGATGGACGTACATTGATATTAAAGTAGTTTAATAAAATTTTGAATGAAACTCTGTAGAAAGGTTGTGATATGCACATTTTTGCCTACATGTACCCAGAAGGTAAATATAAACTTTAGTTTACCAGTCACAGATCAGGTATGATTGTTAAAAGAACCCATCAATCCAGATTAACACAAATATATCTACACTAACCAATGAACTAAACACGAAACATAAATAGTTTCATTTTCCATTCAAACAGCTCAGATAATTACCAGAATTTATTAGAAAAATATGTAGAGGTTCACAATGTAAAACTTTCTTGAAAGGGGCTTGAATTTCAGATCCTCAGTTCCCACCAATTTTCTAAAGCTGATGCTCAATTAATAACTCAAGTTCATTTTAGATCAAGTATCATCTATAACATTACATCTTTATGGTGGAAACTAGCCAAAAGATAAGGACTGCATGACAATTAGTATTAAAACACTACAGTGAGGAAAAATTAGGATCTAATGCAGAGATTATTGGTTGTAAAGATTAGAGATGAACACATAATACATATCATACACAATACATATTTAAAGCCAAACATACAAACTCTAAAAAAATCATACAATACAGTAATTTACCACCAAAGGAGTTGTAGTGGTAGGCAAATTCTACCGAACAGGAGTAGCCCATTTCCTGAAGCACTGGTGTAGTCATTCGAGCAGCACTAGTGAAAAGACCTAGATAAGAAATCAATACATGTATAACTTTCTTGTCAAATCCTTCTTTCATTCTGATTAATCAAATATGATATGAGATGTGTGGAAACTAAAGTGGTATCAAATTATAAACAATTAAGAATCTAAAAAATACAGCCCAAAGCAATTTACTGAAAAAAACTTTATTATTAAAATGAGTGAGTGGCTGGTAGGTAGGTGAGCAAATAAACAAAAGATAATTATATGGCCTACAGTAAACTTGACTTTAATATTACTGCAGTTGGAAATTATATATTTCTGACTGCTGGTAAGAAGTTTGTTTATTATAATATCATGGTCTTATCAGGATAGGCATTAATATAGAGTAACTAAGAGCCTAGGACTTATGTACAAAGAAAACCAAGTTGAGTCAAAACATGTCTTGATTATTAAAGACTTTCACTATCAGGTTGGTCAAATTGACTGACATCATAACCATTTTGTACTCATACATTTTAAAATGTCTCATTAAATTTTGATATTGAAAGTCATGTAGGGATGATCTATGTATAGCTGTAGCATCCCTATATTCTTTATTGGCATTGCCATCCCTACATCATTTTACATTTACAAAATGTTTTTTATTACTTGTTTAAATAAACAAACTTACCTTACTGATACTAGAATATAGCTATACCCAGTATAAACCTTATGCAAATAATTATATTTTGATGATGAAAACAATCAGTCCATATTTTGTGGATTCATGAAATCACTTTACTGATGATGTAACAGTTAATTGGATATTATTATTTGTATGGTGTGTTTCTTTGTTGTTGTTTTTTTTCATTTCTTTACTTCAGAAAGTTTTGAATTAGCTTTTTTGCAAGTTCGATCTGTTGTTAACGTTGATTTTGGAACAATCTCTGTAGTGGGGGAACTGAAAAATCAACGAATAAAATCAAAACCTATGTATATGATAGGAACCATGTCAAGCTAGGGGGTGCTGTTCCACTCTCAGCACCCATAGTTCCCGTGTCCTTGATTGTTACTAATCTATCAATAAATACAAATCAATATAATAATTTCTAGTAACAACTTAATACTGCTTACTAATTAAAGCATTACTTGTTAAACTTGAGCTATCTTCTGTTTAAAATGCAATTATTTTCTTTTTAATTTATAATTCCTTGAAGCATGTAGAACTTGGAAAGTTTAAAAATAAAAACAAGAGAGTATCCTCAATAACCACAGCACTTGAAACTCTTTTAAGAAGGATTGGAGTAAATTAATCTATGAGACCTTTTTTTCCTTTTCATTCGCTATATTTTTGTGTGCCAGCAATACCTAGCATAGTGTGCATATACCCAATTCAATTTTATTACTCATTAGGATCTCTACCAGCCTACCACTCAAATTGAAATCCTTCTGGTAGGAATAGAGTAAATATATCTATGAAACCTTGGACTTGGTCAAATACATCAATCAAAAGAGTTTGACCTACTGAGTCCAAAACTGTAAATAGATCTCAAATCAGTCAAGAGATGACAGAGCTATGAGCTAAAAGTTTGTATTTAAATAACTCAAAGCCGTAGAATGAGTCGCTATGCCATGGCTAAAAATCCATCAAATACAGTAAAACTTGTCTTGTCATCATGGCTTATATACACTCTGTACTTTATACATTACTTATTTATTTTAATTATACACACTGTACATATTAAAAATAAATTACATCATATGCTGTGTATATGAAAATACCTTTATTCTCACTATCTAGGACCAAGAACCATCCTTCAGGATCACCCTGACTGTCAACACTAGGAATTGTTGTTTCATCCTGAAAATGGGCAAAACTACTGGCTTTCACAGGATCCCAACGATAAATTCCAGTACCAACATTGGTCCATCCACACATGGTGTTAACAAAGTCACATTCACCTGAAACAGTTACAACAGTATTTTTGAGTGTTGCCAGTGCTAGCTTAGCCAATAATGTGACAAATAGTCATACTTACCTTAAATTAAGTAACAGCAATAACAACAGATGTTATGTCAAACATACACAAATTTCTAACACAGTAATAATTTGCTTGACAAGAATGAAACCACTAAAGTAAGCTCATTATCATTACTGATGAAAATTACTTTAAACTCAAATCATAGAAACAAAACCATTTTACATTTATATTATAAAAAGACCACCACAATAAATCTAATGAAAAAAACTGAAAAAAAGTGCAAAACTACCAACCACATTCAGATTCATCTGATCCATCAGCACACTGGCGGTCAAAGTCACAAACTTGGTTTTGTGGGACACACTGATCTTCTGTCTTACAGAGAAAATCTTTAACTGTACACCCTTCTGGTAAGGGAGGAAGTGTGGGTGGCGGGGCAGTCGGAAGAGGAGCTATCATTAAAGAACATATTTTTATTTTCTAATATTTATCATTTGATATACTAACTGGCAGTAACATTTCATCACACAAGGGTAGAAGTTAACTTATTATGTACCAAATATTTTTGATTTATTTTTATTCACTTACATGTAAGCTAATGATGCATGTATTTAATGTTTTAATATTTATCACTCAAATATGAGTGTTTGATAATTTCCTGGAATTAAATGATCAAGTTGACATGAAACATGTGTGAGAAAAGAAATTATATCTTAACCACAACATTTGTTTACATGCTTCAACTATTTTAGGTTAAAGAAACCTAAAACAAGATTGAGACAAATAACTGAGCTTTTATAATCCAGTAATAAATGTTATATTTTCATGTGATGCTTGCCAAGAAATTTTACACAACATATGCTTCTTATAAAACAAAATATGAAACCAACTGTTGGCCTTTATTTGTTTGTAGTTAAGCACAAAGCTACAGAATGAGCTATTTTTGCTGTGCCCATCACGAGTAACAAAGTCTAGTTTTTAGCATTCTAAGTCCTCAAATTTCCCACTGTGCCACTGGGAGGTGTTAGCCTTCATTTAAAATCAACTGTTAAGCTTGAATCCTATATTGTTCAAATGAAAACGATCACATACAAATGCCTCAAAGTAACCCTTCTGCTTCTTCTACAACCAAACTCAGAAAATAAAATAAAATAAAATGAAAGTTAATTTATGTAAAAAGTCATGTGAATACTAAAACATACATAATCTCTCATAGTTTATGTAGAGTCCTTATATCATTTTTAAGTTAATATCCCAGTGTTTGGGATTTTTTTTTTTATCAACTTGTTATTTACATATATTTTTGAAATGAGAGTTCCCTGCTGGAATTCATCAAGTAACAAGTTAATTGACTTCATACACTTACTCAGTTCAGGGATACAATCTGATGAAAATGATACATCATCAACTGCCAAGTATCTCTTGCCTCCTTTCTTCAAGGCACCAACTATCCCTTCAATGATTACCTGGAACAGTATGGTATAAATGTATAAAGTAAAATATAAGAAGTTAGATTTGATCAGAAGAGATACTATACATAAGTACCAATAAATACAACTATGGATCATGAATATTTTGTTTCAATGATGATATAAATCAGTGAATACAAGTTTTTGGTCATCTCTATTACAGTTTAATTTCTATTCCTAATATTTCATACATTTACTCCAATTTCATTAACAATGAAATATTTTACTCAACAAAATTTTCCTCTGAACTTATATCTTCATACATTTATTGCTTAATAAATACATAATGACATCTTTTCACAATAGGTTCAAACCAGAAACATCTCAAGTTTGAAATTCTAAATGTGCAGGGCAAAAACATTGTGAAAATAATATCAACAGTCTAATGTGATATTTCTAAGACCTAAAAGCTTTTCCCCTTTTACCAAAACTAACATAATGTTGTTTTCAGTATAACAAATAAGCTTTATTTTAAAAAGTTTCTTTTAATGATCAATACAAGTTGCTAAGAACACCAAAAAGGAACCATATATAGTAACCCATGACAGACAAAAGACAAATCGGAAATGTTTTTTTATACATCTTTAGTTTGAAATCCATTCATCAACTGATTATGAATTCAAAGAGAACATTATCTGCAGCCTAACTTGGTATTCCATCACATTTCTAAAGCCTAAAACGTTCATGCTTTCCAAGCTTAAACACATACTATTAAAACATTAAGTTTCAAATTCTGTTTACTAAGAATTTCAAAGATATTTATCTTTAGTAGGTCTATAGAAAGAAAAGAGAATTAAAAAAAATTCTTATTACCCAAATCAAAATTACATGACTTGTTCAATGATATGTACATATTTCACTGTTAGCCTGAATTAAAAAAAAAAGTCTTCTTCCACCAAAAATCCTAACAGTTAATTAAAAGTGTAAATCTTAAAATACCTGGAAATTCCGCTTCTCTTTGAATAGTACTCCTCCACGTAATAAATAATATGCTTCATTCCCTTCTTTAGTGACCCACACATCTTTCTCTTGTCCATCTTTAAAATTCCGTGTCTTTATCTTAAGTTCAATAGGTATATCACCACGTATATCATAGTAGAAACTCATCTGAGAAAATTTGTTATTTATTACATTCCTAATATTTCCAACCAATTTTCAATAAAAACAGTATTATTTATTTTTATAAATTTTTCAACAAAGCAATTTTAAACTATTGATTGAAATACACCTAAAATTATCTTCATTTTTTATATGAAAGATCTAAATACACGTACAAAAATTCATGATAATTCTATGGCTAATAATTCTACCTCATTATTTGGTGCAAGCACATTTCACTGTGTAAATATAATACAGCATGTTAGCTGCACTTGAAGTATTCAAGCCAGAAAAATTATCTTATACATTCATTTGGTGTTGATTGCTTCTAATACCTCTACATTGGCAATAGATAATACAGCCACAGTTTGTAACTCATGGATAAAAGAAAAATCACCACAAAAAAAGAAGTAAAAAAAAATGTTTATCATATGATAACATTATAATTTAAGACAATGATTTTCCAAAAGAATATTAAAAAAATTATCATTAACACAAGATGCAAGTTTGAACACTCAACCAATACACACTAAAGTATTAGCAAAGATCCAAATAAAGAAAATAAAAAGATGTGGAAAAAATCATAAAAAATATTCCTAGTTGCTTAAAATTTATGGTAATTTTGATGGAAAACATGGTATTCAAAGATGCATATTTAGGATTAGCTAAAATTTGAAATATCCAGAGCTGACTGATTCATAGTGTTGAAATTAAAAGCAAAGTGTTCCATAAAAAAACTTCTTAAAGATCCAATTTCTCATAAATTGACTTTGAAAAGTGAAATCAGCCACTATAATTAATACTGATTCAGACTATACCAAGGTTATTACACCTCTTCAACTTTAAATCTATTTATATTTAGTTTTTAACTAGAGAGAACCAGAAGATATATTTTCAATGATATAAAATGTTACTTATATATTTTCAAAGCCAAAATAGATATCTGAGGTGGCTGGATGATTGTTTGGAGCATATCACCAGCACTGTATTGGCAATAAGATAGTATCCAGTTTAAGATTGCTTTCCATCATTTGCCTGTTTCTACTGATTACAGATTTTGAAATTAGTTCTTCTCATGAGAAATGCATCAGTTTGCTTTAATATTTAAAACCTAGAATGATAACATGCATTTAAAGTTTTCAGTATATGGCTAGTTCAGTAAGCTTTAAAAGATCTCAATACTTGACGAAGTTGGACAGAATAGTGAATGTAACATCTTTTGAAAACCAGAAATAATAAACACTGTTATTGTAATAATGCCAAATAAAATAATTTATTTTACAGAATTTTCAAAGCTCTACTTTATCACACATCATTCTTCAGCTTTGTTTCAAGTTCAAAAAATCTAGAGAGTATGACAATGTGCTTCTTGATGGTGAAGGCATTTAAATACCTTGGACCAACTATGCAAGTAGATGGAGGAGTGAGAAAAGAGGTTAAAGAAAGAATAAACAAAGCCAGGATGAAGTGAAGTCAGTGGAGTGGTATGTGAAAAACATATACCAATAAAGGTGAAGTGAAGATATGTGAAGTGAAAGCCATGATATGTTGTATAGGACTGAATGTTGGAGTTTAAGAAAGAAAGAGGAACAGATTATGAATGTAATAATGCTTGGAGACGGCTTGAATAGGTAACGAAGAAAAACTTTAATATAAGTCTAACATAAAAGCAAACTTACAATGTTTTGTCAAGGTTTTGTCATCAAATGTTGTATATTTGCTGTTATGTTAAACTTATATTAAAGTTTTTCTCCATTACCCATTCAAGCTGTCTCCAAGCATTATTAGTCTCAAAGTGGGATCCTCGTTATTGAAGATTATGAATGTGGCAGAAATGCAGATGTTGAGGTGGATGACAGGGATGTCAAGAAAACAAAAACTGCATCAGAAGCAAAACCGTTAGGTAGAGAGTGAAAGTAGTACCAATTATGGAGAAAAAAAGATAAACTCACCTTAGATGGCTCGGTCCTGTGGAAAGAAAAGAAGAGGAGTATGTTGGTAGGAGAGTGACAAATATGACAATGGAAGAGAAAATGTCAAGAGGATATGTGAAGAAAAGGTGAATGGATGCAATGAAAACAGACATGAGGAAATTTGGTATGAAAGTAGTAGCTTTGACACAGAATAGAAAAGAGTGGAAGAAAATAACCAGAAAAGCAGACCCCAAGTATATGGAACAAATGCTAAGATGAAGAAAATTCATGCAAAGATGCTATTAATATATTGCATTTGATTACCCATCTGTACATTTGATGAGATTCTGATCAAACTTAGTGGCATAGTAATCTTATGAAGAGTTAGTTGTTCATATTTTGAAACAGAAAATGGCAATGTAAAAAAGCGTTTCTTACATACTTTAGGTGAAGATATTTAAATTTATTCAATAAAATTACAATACATTCATATTATATCAGTGCTACATAAAATCTATGTTTATAAATTTATTCCACAAAATAAACATGAGGGTCATAAAACATATTTTTACTCACTATGCAGTTTTCTGTTGGTTGAAATATAGGACCAGCTAGTTTAGCAAGCTTATTGGTGTTCATGTCTGGTGCCAAGAACAAAAATCCTCCTGTAAACAAGCATCAATTAAATTATTACAAAGAGTTAAAATATGTAAACATTGCAGAACACCCATTTCTGATTTTAATGATAGAGCAATGAAATGAAACCGTTATTTCAGTTCTTTGATACACACTTGTCATATTCTCTCTAAACACACTGGAACAACATATCTGTACATACAAATGTATTTAAAGTGCATATGTTAGCCTATTAAATTCATGTCTTTAGCAAAAGCACACAATCTTTGAGATTAATCTATAGTTAGCTTTTGTGTTATTAATAAGATATTTATCTCAGTGCTCAACCTTAATAAGATGCCCCATGTTCAAAAAAATAAATATTTCTAACACAAAAAACAATTCAGTTTTTATTACGCATAATATCATGTTTTTATGTATGTGGATAAGCCGGATTCTTTACAGTAGGTGTCAGTGACTTGTTGGTGATAAATTTTAACAATAAAAAGCATATAATCCACTTGTTTTAGAATAATATATATTAAAACAAGTCAAACATATATATAAATGTTTGTTACACAGTTAATTACCACAGTTGTATCCAAAGCTTTAAATAATGTAGTTAAACAAATGTAGTTACAATTTGAAGTCATTCCCAAAAGAAAAAAAGGGTAATTTAGAATTATCTAGGTGGTTATAAGGTTGGTCAAATTCACCAATCCCACATAGAGATAGGGTAAAGAAAATAGATAAAATGTAAAGTTTTACTGAAAGAAAAAAAAACGTTTGAAACATATTTAGGAGGTTTTAGGGATTACACAAATGAAATTTGAGATTTTTGAGATGAAGAAAAGTGCTTTTAATCTTAGCATAAAAATTACTTTGTACACAGACTATTCAAAACAAATACTCAATATATTCATGAACAAAATTTATTTTAGTTTATTAAAAATACTTCACTAAAAATATGATTTTTTGTATGTGAAAGACTTATAATGTTAACTGAAAGACTGCCAAATTGTGTGAAGACATACACACTATATGAAAGTTAGAAGTATTAAATCTATAGAGACTTTAAACGAGTACAAAAAGATAATGTGGTTGATCAAATTGATTGAGCCCATGTTGAGAGAGTTAACAGTAACTATGGGACTTAAGCCTTTTCCTTCTCTTTCTGACTACTGGTCTACCTATCTTTCTTTTCATACTTCTTGATTTCCTAACATCTTCTCTAGGGATACATTTTTAGCTATCCATACTACTAACATTTAATAACAATACTAATGCTCTTACTAGAACTGACTGTAACTATGATAAACATTTTAAGGTTAGACCTTTCACAGACCTTCTTCTAAAGTCCTTGTTCCCACTACTCTCCTAACAGGGATCTAACTATAGATGAACAAATATTGGGTACAAAATGTAGAATTGGTTTATTTCAATATCTATCAAAGAAACCTGTCAAGTGGAGTATCAAGCTATGGGTCCTGGTAGAAGCTGTGAGTTGATACTGCCTGAAGTTTAAAAGCTACACAGGCAAAGAGGGATAAATGCCAGCTAAAGATTCAGCAGATACACAGACTGTATTTCCCACAACAACTGGTTTCTACAAACCTAAGAAGTGGGGAAGCATGATTCTTTAAATGTGAAACTCTGACAGCTGTGAAGTGGACTGAAAAACAAGACATTTACACACTTTCAACTTTACACCCTAATACTATGACATGAAGGGGGGGGATACTGAGGTAACAAAACCTCAGTTAATTTTGGACAAAGGTAAAAGGAAAAGATGAAGACTGTGTCTCCCACAAGACAAGGTACTTATAAAATGTAAACTTTGTTATGAACTTCTTTGTACGAAACAATTTGAAGAGTATCACACTAATACTTTACAAAGAAGTTAAGCTTTTACTTAATACATAGCCAACACTGCTGAAAGTATTATAGCTGATTTATTTTTCATGTTATAACTACATAAAATAAAAATAAGTCTGTTATGAAAGTTTCACTAAAGTATTACTTATGTACAAGATAAAAGTGTCTGCTCTTTTCCTTTCTTTATAATTAGTTTTTTTCTCTAAAAACTAATAAATATCTCAATAGCATTTTTGATTGTTTGTATTTGAATTTACAGCAATGTTTCCTGTTCACATCGTTTTTTTACTGAAATATTTTTGTAAAGTTTTCTTTTATTAGTCATACACTTGTATGTACAATAATTATGTACCTTTTCATGTGTCAAAATCAGTTTACAATTTTTTATATATGCCATCATAAGTAAGAATTTTGGAGTTTTCTAAAATGTTTGAAGTAAAATACCTATCTATATAAATTGCCATTCATTGGTACTAGTTTTTTTTCTTTGTACAACTTTATATGTGTTTTCTAAAAGTTTTTCAAAATTCTTGATTCTTTCATTCTTATTGTTCATTTTATCATGTGTCAACATTTGTATGCATTTTTATATGTCAGAGTTTGTATAACTTTATTTTGTTTTATGTAATTTGTATGTGCATTGTTCCTTTTCGACATGTATAAACATTTGTGCATAACTTTATTTCACCGACTTTTGTAAAATATTGTAACTTTCAAAAATGTTATGAATAACCCTTTTTTCTTAAGTTGTGAAGTTTCTAATATTACATAGTTTGTTTTATTTCACTTGATTTTAGACAATTAGAGGAATAACACAAATTCAGTAGGAATAGCAATATATTGTCTACAAAGTACAAATCTCTAACTATAATACCAGTATTTTGCAGAATACAGTGATATTTCAGTTCCCATACATTACATATGTGTATATATATATTATTACTATTTATTCATAAATGCTTAAATTTTAGTTATTTTTCTTAAAACATAGAACAATAAATAAAAATACATCCAAAAACAATGATTTTAAGTACTTACAGTGTTACAAAATTGTTCTGTGCTCATACGTCATACATGCTAAGCCTTGCTATAAGCCTTGTTTATTCTTCCAAATGGAAGATAAAGATATATTAATTTTTGTAGGCTTCAAATATACATTTTTGTAAAAAAAAATATATCAACTTATGATATTAATACACATAAAACCCCTGTAATTTATATGGATTTCTAAATAAGATGTATGTCAGTCATAAAAAAATTTCATTTCTATTCAGAGCAGTAACTTAGTCATCACACTTCAACAGTTTCAGTAAAATTATGACTTTCTCCTTCAAGCTATTTACAAACAAGTGTCAGATTTATATAGATTGGAATGTGCTCTTTCAATTGGTTATAAACATGTAATCAAGAGAAATAGGTAGAACTAGATGAGAAGTTTCAAACCAATGGAGTAGTGGGAGGAGCCACTCTACTAGATTGGCTAAATATATTGATATCTCAGCAAATCAAAGAGGTGGGAGGTTCTTATTTTATATTCGAGTTTGTCTGTATCTCAAATTCAAGTTTCTAATTTGTTAACCACTGTACATGTTGTGTGGTAGGCATAATAAAATATAAACTGAGCAATACGACAAGAGAAGGTGCTATGTGACAAAATTCAATATTTAACATTTTCTTTCTTACATTTCCTTTTAGATTAAGAAATTAAAACATATATTAAAATTTGAATTATATACTATGTTTTAATGCTAATTTTACTGACATGTAGTAATAATGAAGTTATTTAATAAAATTTTGAAAATAACTCTCTGAAAGGTCATGACATGAGCTCTTTAACCTGCCCATAGCAAGAGGGTAAAATAATTTTATCATAGAAATTAATCAAGTTTTATCACTCTAGCATGGCATGTTAGGTTATAGAATAACATGCATAAATGAAGGTATAAATTAGTATGTGTTTTTAAATGTATTACATCATTAAGGACTGTTTAAAATGAGATACTGGTAGCATAAATCATGAAGCAAAAATATAATTATACATTTGAGCCATTTAATATTTTTAACTATAAACATCTACAGATATTAACAGCTAGCTACCTAAAACAAAGACACTCCTATTATTTAACTCAAGACCTTTGGTTTTGTCCTAAGATTTTTCAAAAGTATGGACCTTACCAAAACGAAGTCCTCTTGTGTGGTCTCTCGTGGGGCCCTCAGACAAAAACTGGAACCCAGACCTTCTTATAAATCTTGCATTTCCAGCTACATCATGTTGCCAGTCACAAAGTGAATAATCAAAATTACAACGATAGTGGTACTGATCTGCAAAATTAAAACCAAAAAGTCAACAACATATTTTTTTTTTATGATTGAGAAAGCTTAAATAATTTTCCCAAGTGTTTTTATAATCACAGCATACAAGTTCTAAATGATATATATATATAATCATTTATGCAGTTTTGACATAAATCTAAATATTTCTCCAGAATTATACTGGTCCAATCTCTAAATTCAAATTAATTTCTATTAAATTAAAAACAACTAATTGCATTTTTGAGAAAGCAAAAAAGAACATTTTTTTGGTTAAGTAGTTCTTAATTCAACTGTACCAAAAGTACAAATAGACAGAATTCAGTAGATTATTTATAAGAAAAACTATAAGCTTATTCAAATACATACAACAGTACTGTTCATCACTTCGGTCACCACAATCATCAGTATAATCGCAAACACGGCTTCTGTCAATACAAGCTTTGTTTGCACACCGGAACTGGGTGTCAGAACATTCATCCAAAACTGGTGCTAAAAAATTAATAAATGTTATAATAATAACTAAAAAAATAGTTTGAAAAACAGAAAGATTCTGAAGCTAGATTTTAGAAAAAAATGTTGAAATATTCCTACACTAAATTTTATTTTTTTAATCTCCTGTTACTTATAGTTTACAATCTGACATCAAAAGTTAGATGTGAGTATAATCAATTGTGATACTATAACATAATATACATATGAATAACTAAACAGGATTATAATTAATTGTGATATACATATAAATAACCAAACATTGCATTTCATAATTAATTTTACATATACATAATTTCATAATATCCAAATATTAAACCTTCAGGAATGAAATGATAAATATTTCATGATGGTGGCTGATTATATTATTAATAAAAAAATTCTAATTTTTTACAGTAAAACACTCAAAATTGTGACAGATAACTGGTAATTAAAGTTCTTTTGAGTGTTTCAAGCAACTTAACCAAAGCTCTGATTTTGGTAATAGTCCAATATAAAATGTAGATTCCTTGAAAAAACTGTATTATTTTAAATAGAGTTAGGTTTCATTCATTTCAATTTCTCCCAGAGTTTTCTATATAGTCCATTGATGAAACATAAACTGATTAAAGAAATTTTTTTCGAAAATGAGTTGTTTTAATTTCATTCAGGTCTTTCTTGATTTGTAAAATCATACACATGCACATGGATTTTCATTCATAAAATGTTATCGTAATGGATCTTTGTCTAACATAAACCATGAAAACCACTTCTAGCAAAACCAGTTTAAGTACATTTTTTGGTAAGAACAGGAAGTTAATTTTGTGGTTTAAAATAATACTGCTAATTTACAGCTTTATAATTACATATATTCTTTTGATTATCACAAAACTCTGTGAAACATATTTCCTTAAAAAACATTAGTAAATTCATTTTAAGTTACAGAAAAGTTACATTTCTCATACATTAACAACCATTAACCCTCATCAGCACCCCTTTGAAAAGTTACATTGTGGAACACCTGAGGTCCAACCAGACCCCAGCACAAAATTACCATTATAGTAAGCTCTGGATTGAAATTGCATTACAACTTTTATTAACGTTAGCATTCAATGTGATTAACATAAAAATATATGTATTCTAGAGGAAATATGTTGACAAATCAATAAATTACAAAATTACATTGTACACCAGTATACAAATAAGTAGTATTAAACCATTCCTTGTACAAACAGTGTATTAAAAAAATGCCAAAGTTTTATCATACTCCTATATTCAAGTCATTATCCATGATGAGATTAACACAATAATGTAAAATTCGACTCAAAGAAAACTGAAAGTGTACATTGTGAGTTACCTTGGGTCTGTCCAGTCCCCAACACAAATGTATACTTATAGTAGGTTATGGATAGAAAATCCAATAAGCAGGTTATTTACAATAATTACCAAACAAGGTTTCTATAAAATAGGGCATTATAAGCAGTTATCACAGAGAACACTTGTTGAGGAACGAGATATGCATACACACTTACCACAATGATGTTATAAGCAATCAGAGGAGATGATACTGTACTACTTTGATGAATTATCCACTACAACAGCTTATATAGTACAAATAAAAATTTAGAAACTTGTTTCATATCCTATAGGGCAAAGTGCATGTATAGTGATGGTCAATGATAGTATGAAGTCTGTGTGGAGCCAAGAAAAATATGAGATTATAACTACTTACTCTGTCTGCCTGTTTTGAAAACACATGTCATATTGATTCAGGGTTTTTCCTTGACAATTACATGAATTAATATAAATTTGTAATGATTATGTAAAAAGATGTACAACTGAGAAAGTCACTGGGGTCCTTGTGGACCCCAGGTATGCTGATGAGGGCTGAATAGTTCTAAAACTCTACAACAAATATGGAAATATCACCATAAAGCTATCAAAATGTCATGCAACTTTACTGCTATCATTTCGTTAATTTTGTACTTCACCAACATGATTTTTATAATACATTGTACAATTGGTCTTCATTCTTATAAATTTATCATCAGTGTAAAATATTGTTGTAACCCCTCCTTTTATGTAGCTATGGTAAAGTTAAATCAAATTACTTTTATAAAATAATAAATTCTTATTCCTCATCACTGAAGCAATTTAATAAAATATCTGAATGAAAAATACTTGTACTGAATTAAGTGAAAATTATGTTTGACAGTGAAAAAATCTTTGATTTAATAATCTAAACCTTTAATATAATTAGTTCTAATCAAAATTTAATTCTTGACAATCATTGTCATCTTCATTAAATATCACAAGTTTCAAAGTTACTTTACTATTTTTCTATAAGTTATAACTTAAGAAAATATATTACAACTACTTACGTGGTATTCCACAATCAATTGTTCTTATATCATCTATAGCAACATACTGTCGTTCAGAACCTGAGTTGGAACTCCTAAAGTACAACTGCCAAGAATAAACATACAATATTACACAAATTGTATGGATTGTTACAGAAGTTAACATTTTCCTAAATTGAAAATGTATTTTGAATAATACTTACCTCTGCTGATACTATAGCTATGTCTTGATCTCCAGGGTTCCACTCTTTGCCCATTTACGAATTGAAAACACTTGCTCCAGTCTTTTATACCCCACTTAAATGCCCTTGGCAAATTCTAATTTGCAAAATTCTCCACCAACTTCAACATGCCCTCCATGTAGGTACTGTATATAAGCATCTCATTCAAATAATGCAATTACTTTTTCGAGACATAAACCAGATTTTAATGGGGAGGTAGGGCAGAAGAGTGTCAGCGGAGGTAAGTATTATTGAAAATACATTTTCAGTTTAGAAAAATGTTAACTTCCTAAACATACTTACCTCCACCAACACTATATGTAGAATCCCACATTGAGAAGGTGGAAGGGCCGATGCATGCATGATCCATACAGAAAGCATCTGTATAGAACAGTAGTATACCAAGATAATAATGATACAAGAGTGCGGGAACCGCACTACATCCAGAACAGGTATGTTCTTCACCTGGAACAAATGTGGAATAGAATATGAGTAATCATCAGTTTAGGCCAGCCCCAACCATATAGCCGAGGTCCCACAACTCGGGGTTGGAATTAAGGGGACGTGATTAATGACATCATCTCATTACTCTACTGCCCTGGACCAAAGACTGATTGCTCTTCTGAGAGTCAGAAGCACTGAATATGCCTACTATGCTGTACTTGCAACATGATGGAGGCAATGACCAACCCTGAAGCCAAAACATGGAGTACCCATGGATACCTGGTGAAAGAACTTCACATGTCCAGAAAGTGATGTAATCGTGCTCTCACTGCTCCCATAGAATGGTCCCCAACACCGTTGTCGATGGTTCACCCGAGCTGAAGATCCTCAAAAAGATGGACGGACTCTATTATGGGAACCAATAGATCTGGAAACCGAAGGAGGGGGTTGGGAAACACTATAAGTCAACACACCTAAATTAGCGGCAGAAAGGCGAGAAGCCAGTGACAATAAAGAAGAATGTAAATGGACTGAATCAATTCATGATTCTAACATCTCTGGAACTCCGGCAAACAACATGGGACGGAGAAAAGGAGCTTCCCATAAATCCCTGAGAGCATAAGATGGTAAACGAAAACTTTCTAACAAAGTTTCTGTACCCAATAAATCCCAACAACAAACCAGCCAGGAAACCAGAAAAAGAACTGAAGAAGACAATCTGACTGAAGTAGACATCAGCAAGATCCCCAACTCATCCTCAAATTGCTGAGAGGAGTGTTGATAGGCTTCCAACAAAAGTTGGATCGAGAATAAACACCTCAGGACAGTTGTGAGAGTAACACAAATCAAAGAAACTGTGATCTGTTTAAAGTGATCAGAGATTCCAAACTAGACCCCCACAGGTCCAAGAGAGGGGGTCCATCCATTGAGAATCTAAATATACCTCCTCCAGGCGATGATAAGCCAAAGCATGCTGTTCCGATAAACATGCGGGAGAAGGAATAGCTATCCTGTCACGTAACTGAGTGGCAAATCTCCCACCACAAACAGCAATATCAGGAGGAGGAGGAAAAACCAAGTAGTCACTTGCCACCTTCTCTGCCAACAAGGAAGGAGTAGAGTCAAATGCAACAGGAAAGACCCCAAAATCTCACAAACTCAAATAACCAACCGATTAAAAGGAGCTGGAGGTGGCTAATCAAGATGATCCTCTGTTGAAGCCGACTTAGTTAAAGAAGGAGCCGGAAAAAGTGAGTAAATTCACCACAGCTGGTCCCGAGTCATTTATAAGAGCCGCCTCAGAACTCCCCAGAGAGACATCCTTGGTCTGCATATATGACTACATCTTACAACAGATCATATCCCAGACAGCTTCAACTGAGAGTGACCCCTCCCCTGGCCATTGACAAACACTAGATAGCAGAGGTGGAAGAGTAGAGGTTTGGTTGGCCTCCATAGTAGAAACATTAAGTCAGAAATTCATACCCATCAGTATGCTTTTTGTTGTTATTGTTACAGTAATCTATAAATATAAACAAAGATATAACCATAGTAACACCAACCACGTTCAAAGTCGCAACGTAAATTGTAAATAATCACAACACTCCTGTTTATAGAAACCCGTGCCGAATGCTTTATTGAGAAAAGTAATTACATTATCTGAATGAGGTGCTTATATACAGTACCTATATAGAGGACGAATTGAAGTTGGTGGAGAATTTTGCAAATTAGAATTTGCCAAGGGCATTCGAGTGGGGTATAAAAGACTGGAGCAAGCATTTTCAATGCTTAGAATGGCAAAGAGTGGAAACCTTGGAGATCGAGGAATAGCTACAGTGTCAGCAAAGGTAAGTATGTTTCAGAATATTTTTCAAACCAAGATACAAAATGTAAACTGTAACTTTATATATATGTGTATATATATACACACACACATACATTCACTTTAAACACAATATTAAAATTAAAACTTTATCTCATACAGCTGTGGTATGTAGGCATATCATGCACTTTCTACATTCTTATTTCAATTTAAAATTTTCATTTATTCTAAGTAACCTGTATTCAAGAAAGTCATTAAATTACTTTCTCTCTAGCTACCTACTGTTCTGTGTCATCCATTGAGATAACACCTGATCTGTCCATGGGTGAAAGAGCTATGAAGCTGCCCAATATATATTAAATTAGATATCACTTTTGAACAATGGTCAGGTGATGTCTTGAAGTTACAACCTCCCATATTTTTAAATGGGAATGACTAGCCTCATAGGTAGCACAAGTCACTCTGGGTAAGTCTGGCATTACCAACATAACTAAGAAACATGCGGTATAATTAGTCTAGAGTGGAATCTCAACCAATGCAGTTTCGACAGAAAATAGTCTAGATCCAGTAAAAGTGACCATCCGTCTTCCAAAAGCATACATATATATACACAGTGTATTTGTTTTCCTAAACAATTAAGATTGTTCCTTGTATTTTTGTACAATAGTGTATATTATCTTCATTTCCTTCTCATGAACTCAGAATTACTTCAAAATTAATATATCATTTAAACCCCGAGTTATCCTACAGACCTACCTTGTCACTCTATTGAAAATTAGTTTGACTTGAAAATATCACAAAGTGGATAGGAAAGAGAAAAGTTTGGTGTTATCATCACAGTGTATCTTATTATGGAGTTTTCTGCTGACATACTGTCCTTTACTCCTACTCTTATGTTATTAAATTTAAAATGGCATTTTCCAGAACTCAAAGGACTTACTAACAAGAGGAAGTCACTGAAGGGAGATGGCTGCCTAAGAGGCCTCTCCTGGACTTAGGACTTTTGCTGATGCTACAAAGGTCCATTATTTCTTTCTTGTTGCAGCTGACAAGTCAAGAAGGAGAGCCCCTGATATCTAATACACCCAGAATAACCATTAATGTCCTCACCTAAGGATTGACCTCAGTGCAAGGGAAGCACAGATATAACTGAGGGTTGTAGCAGAGATGTGTCATTTGGTGGATCCAAGGTCAAAAAGGACAATCTGTATTGGACTCCCAAGCTTTCATCAGCCAGATTAACCCAACTCCAACTTTGGATGAAGCAACCCAAAGAAGACGATCAGATAAGACAGGTGCCATTGGGTACAAAGTTAGTCAAATGGAGCTCCTTCATCAAAAGGTGAGATAGTTGGCACCAAATGGTAAAGATGGTGAACCTTGGAGCAGTTAAGCCTTTCTGAACCAGGAGGTATACTGCTAGTGGGTGCAGAGCTAACAAACAGATTAATGACACTATCTCATTACTCTACTGCCCTGAACCAAGGACTGACTGCTCTTCTGTGAGTCAGAAGCCCTGAACATGCTTACTATACCATACCTGCAACATGGTGGGCATCTCAATCAAGTGATGGCTGACAGTTTTTGTGGGAAAAGCTCTGCTACAACCACAGGTCCTTAAGTGAGGCAACACACATCTTGCCCCCAACATTCAAGAGTGTAGTAATGGAATACTTGCACTTGAGCATGAAGCAAATTTGGGGCCCAAAGATAGTCAATCTCAAGTACAGCTGCAGGTTTGATCCAGTGAACAACCTAATATGCTGAGTTCAAGGCTTAAAATAGGGGTACCATAGAGAACTTGGCTATTTATGCAGACAATCTGCACCGTTTGCACAGTAAAGTGTACCCTGCAATGGCTTTAGTGGATTAAATACCCTCATCAATATGATTGAGGAGGAGGCATTACCTGGATGTGAAAAATATTTACACTCTTACAGTTTGGTTTGATTTGTTTTGAATTTTATGCAAAGATACATGAGGGCTATCTGCGCAAACCATTCCTAATTTAGCAGTGAAAGACTAGAGAGAAGACAGCTAGTCATCACCACCCACCACCAATATTTGGGCTGCTCTGTTAAGAATGAACAGTGGGATTGACCATCACATTATAAAACCCCCACAGCTGACAGGACAAGCATGTTTGGTGGGATGGGGATTTGAACCCATGACCTCCAGACTGTGAGTCAAGCATTTTAACCACCTGCCCATGCCAGACCCTCACTCTTGCAGATGCAGTCCTATGGTGATGAGAAATGAAGTGGTAACATCAAACCAGTCACAAGAGAGGAAGAAGTCTGCAATTGCTGTACCTCAAACAAACCATCCTAAACAAGCACCTACAACATGTAGGGTTTACCAACCACCCACACATCCCAATTCAACTACACTGATACCCAGAGAACAAGCAGGACTACCCTGGTCCTTCCAAGGTTTTCATGTCCAAGCCTAGGCCATTGATTTCATCCCTGAAGAGAAGAGCAAAGTGTTCCCCCTTCTCTGTGGTGCATTGGATCTTATGAGAACTGCCTGTAACTTACCAAGCAGAAAAGTAGACAAGGCTATTGGTTTTGACTGATGGCTCAGCAGGTGCAGGAAAGTAAACACTGACACTACAAGTTAAGTTGGCCACACTTGGGGAATGCAGAGATGGCTTGCACCACAAAGTTAGGTAGTCAGTCCAGCTCTATCAAAGCTAGGTGGATCTTGACACATGCCTGTCAGAATACATGAGTGAGAGATAGTTTCTGCTTAATAAAGGAGTGTCCAGGACATTGACCAATCCCGTAATATTTTAGGCCTTCTGAGCAAAACCACTACTCGAGCAAATGTTCTGGCAAATAGCAATAAACTAGACAAGAAGACAATATAATATTACCATTGGCCTATTTGTAATGATAGAAATATCATAAACCTAATTACATAAACTAAACACTGTGGCATATAATACTGGCATGGTTAAATAAGAAATTGGCAAAAATACAAGTTGATCTGCAGGCTTAGCCTTTTAGTGACAAACATGTACATTGCTTAAAAAGATTGTAACTCAAAAACATTCAGATGGGCTATAAAATATCCAAGTTCAAAAACAACAATTCTTGAGAGTAAAGACATCATTCCTATACAAAAGTAACCTATGTGCTGTAAAGAGTTATGTCCAAACCAAAAGTTTGGAAAAATTCCAGGCACTTTGTATCAGAATAAACCTAAATGTCCTGACTAAGTGAGGGACCAAAAAAAATGTTTTTCTAATTCTATTTACATCTTTACAAACCTTTAATTACAAAAAATAATCATGTTTCCATAAGAAACAGTCTGTGTTCACAGGAAGTTAAGTGAAACAAACTCTTTTTTTTATTTGTTTGCTTCAGCTATTCACACATAGTTACATAAGAATTATCTGCACTAACTGTTCCCAATTTTGAACTGATGTAATGACATTCTCCTTGACCAGATATTTCAAGGTCATAAACCTGCTAATTCATTTACTCAGATATAGGCTACATTGCAACCTTTGTTATTAAGTCTCAAGCTTGGACATATGTTTTTCTGTACATATTTATTGGCAAATAGCAAACAAGCAATACAGAAACCAGTAACATCTGGCTTGGCTTAAGAGAGTTCAAGCTACTTTGGTTATTTGTGACAAACACTGTATAAGATTACACATATTACTTTGTGTTGAAAATTTAGTTTAAAAAGAAAGTTTATACTGATCCACTTGTCTAAAAGAATGACTTTGCACCAACAACTTTCTCTTCTGAAAAACATTATTACTAAATTATCAGTAGTTGTGCTATTTTATTTCATATTATCCAATATTTAGCATTACCTAGATTCTGGCAAGTGGAGCCTATCACTGTTTTTACTGAAAGGAAAATACCCATTGAATACAAAATGACTTTCACAAAAAAAAATTACCAAAATTAGATAACAAATTTGATTTATAATTTTTTCCTCGCAAAATTTTAACAAAAAATACATGCTTTACAAACTAATTCTTGTCAAAAAAACTATTACAAATTCTTATGCTGTTCACCAAAGCACTCAAGACACACATACAGATTGTTTTATTAATTAGAGAGCAATATTTTGGCACCCTTTTTATCTTCTTCCTTGTTTCTGCTCTTTCTACTTATTTTTTTTTCTTAAAGACTGGAACCTATTCATTAGGTGTGACTGCATCCATTTCACTACAAAAAATCCCTTTTGCCTGAGTGAAAGTTTTGGGTCAACTCCATTGGCAGTGAATTTGTTAAAGTGTTAACAAACTAGTTCTAAAAAAAATTTATATTACAGAATTTATATCAAAATTATTTCAATGATGTTTGTTAATCATTTGGTAATGTTAGGTTAATAAGTGACCTGATGAATTTACAACAAATGCATAAAAAATGAATAAAATACAAGTAAGTTCTTTAGCCGTTCTTTTTTAACTGAAAACAGAGAAAAAACAAGAGCAGTTCATCACTTACTCTAGCTTTAGTAGGTACACGTCCAATGTACACTTGACCCTCCATCCAGAGATCAGGCAAAGATTCTTTTCTTGGGAGAGTCCATACATGAATGTTCTCCCTTTCATTGATCTCAATTTCTACATCCAAGGTCACTAAAGAATTATGATATACACTAATACATAAGCCAATATATATTTAACTCCAAAGTTTTCACTGTATAAGGACCTATTATTAACTTCAAGTGATGGATAAATGTATAAATATAATAACAGTTCAATGATGTACAATGCAAATAAACACTAAATTGTATTAATAACTAAACAAATTTTTACATGGCATTTTTAACAGATGCTCATTAGTATGTTAATTCACAAAATCCAGCAAAAATAAATCACACACAGTTTATTCTTGTGGTTAATTCTCTAATTATTCAATAAAAATAAATGCTCTAGCAATAATGGTCTTTATAAATTTTCATTACAATTTAGCATTAACCAGCTTAAGTATTGGTTTCTAGAGTTACATACAGACTGGTTTGTCATGAAAATATTTCAAGGGTTAAGTGAGCCTTTTTTTTCTTTCCTTGAAATAATTATATTATGGCTACTCTATTAATCCTGCTGGTGATATTTATAAAATACTGATGAATCATTGCAAATGTGCTTACATATTTGTAACTATTTATTATTTACTATAAGTAATTAACTTGTTATGGAGAGGGAGGGGAGGCTGTAACACAAAGTCTACTAAAATAAAGATACAAACTAAATGTCAACAAGTAGAAGAGATTTCCATATTACTTGCAATAATATAGACCAAAACAATTTTTTCTCATATTCACAACAATTAACTACATTTACAAAAACAACACAGTCAATGATGCACAAAGACAACAAAATATATATAAGCTCATAAGTATAAAGATTGATTATATTCAAGGAAAAAATATCCTACCTGGTCCTTTGTAGTTGTACCAAAAGCTAACAAAGCAAGTTGCACCAGAATCTTGAAACCTTGGACCACTAATCATCAAATTATCTTCATTGTTATAATTTTCTTGAAAATAGGCTGTCATGTAGTATCCTGTGTTATCAAAGAGTAACTCAGTTTTATAGAGATGAATGGGAATATTGCTGTATATTTATATACAGTAAAACAATCCATTAACAGCTGTGTTTAAATATTATATGTTATGCAAGTACTCTTATTATCCAGGTTTTCCAAAATAGATACCCTAACACATATAAAAACAGCCCACACAACAATACTTTATTTAAAATTACTGTACTTGTACCTTTTTCTGAGGAAATGGTGTGGTCTGTTTGTGGTCCAAACTTCGAATTTCCATCAGTTCGAATCCACTTGTACATCCCCTGTACATTAGCATTGACATCTTCCCAGCCACACTGACCATGTTCAAAGTCACAAGAAGAACAATTTTCTTCATCAGCAGCATTAATACAATCGATTCTAAAGTTACAGACTGCACCTTGGGATACATGTTGATCCATGCCACAGTTAAATGGTTCCACTACTTCAGCTAAAAAATAACACAGATATTAAAACAACCATCAAAGGATTTCACATCTTTGTTCATCAAACTATTTCAGTTAATGATGTTTTATATTTTATAATTGATGTTTAGCCTTCCTAAGTGGCAAAAGCTATGTATTCAGTGATGAATCGTCCATCTGTCTGAGTGTGCCATAATTTGAATACTTTTTGATATATTTTTAACAAAGGTTCATTGCAGATGGCGTAATAACCTTCATCAACTTATAATGGGTTGGTGTAAATCATCAGGTCCCATAGATTAATGAAATTTGTTATACCATCCATTATTTTCATTCAAAAATTCAGGAGGTTTTAGAGATTATGCAAATGAAACTTGAAAATTTTCAGATGAAGAAAATTATTTTTAATCTTAACATGAAAATCACTTTGCACTCAAAGCAGTCAACACCCTGACTTCATATATTCAGACTAATTTTTAGTAAAAATACATAATTAAAAATTCTGATTTTTTGTCAAGAAAAGACTTGTAATGTTTACTAGAAGCTTGAAAAATTTCATGAAGATACACAAAATATGCTAAAGGTTATAGTATGGAAACTCTGATGGTCATCAATTCAGTAGTGAAAGAGTTCAAATGCAGAATAACTTTAACACAATATAATGGTGTATTATACCAATATGAGATTCATATCATGTATAAAAATACACTTCATTCCATCTTTCTCTCATTAAATTCCATGTACCAGCTGAGAAAAGTTTTGTTTTCAATATTTTCAATGCTTATTATATTTACTTGCAATGGGAAGTTACTCAAACAATTTCATTAATATAAAAGTTCATATGCTTCTTAGCTAGAGTTTTCTGTCAGTGTATTTATAAATTATTTTACAATGTAAAATAACTGCCTTTCTTGATATCGTGGTAAGCAAGCACATTATGTATTTCCTACACCACTTGTGTACTATAAAAATGTTCAAGCATTCAGAACATACTAAGCATGTATTCTTAATATAGAATGCCAATCAAAAAAGCCACTAAGTTCCTCTCATTCTAGTCACCTACTAATCTGGATCATTCAACTATGGAATCACATGCATTTTCTCATGGGAAAGATTCCTATAAAATAGAGCACACTATACCAAAATAAAAAGTCATCTTTTCCACTGACAAATCAGATGATGTCTCAAGGATACAACACCCATTATTTTGCAGTGAGAGTGACTGTCAGTCATGTGATCGTTCCTACATCCTGAGAAGAATGACATTGTTATTTTAGTATATAACACTAATATTTTTCTAATCAGAAAATGTATTTCCAATAAATACTCACCTCTACACACAGATAAGATATGCATGCCACAAGCTTTGAGGCAACTCTCACCTAATTTAACATGCTTCAACATGAACTGTGCTGGTGCATGATGACATCATCATGCGACAAGTGACCTCTACCAATAGGAGTGTAACACAACCTCCATTTGCAGTAACTCCTCCTATGCATCTGCACTCTTGTAACTTCATTCTTTGACGAGGTAAGATAAAAAAATGGGCATCAGAAGTGGGGATGATGGATAGGAATGTGTGAAGAGGTTCATATCTATCGGAAATACATTTTCAGATTAGGAAAATGTTAACTTTGGAGACAATAACTCACGTCTTCACACATAAAAGCTAAAATCCCATGATTAATTAGTGGCAGAGACTGGTGCAACATTGTGCCTAAATGAG